CTTCCATGCTCTTGTTCACGAGATAGGCTTTGATAGGGTCAAATTGGTTTAAGATTATATTTCATCTGGTTGCTTCAGATCAGTTTGGTGTTAAACCGAAAGGGAACAGGCGGTAGTTTCTCCTATACAGTTTCGTGGAGAGATGCGGGTTCTCGTTCGGATTTGGACAATGAACGAGAATTTTTTATGGACGAATAATATTAATTATAGGCTTTTTCGATGGATGAAAGAAAGGGTATATTATTATCAATATTAACTCATATTATATTATGGATGTTATAGTCATCATTATAAAAAATAGCTTTAACATTCTATAAAAAGAAATAAATATAAATATGTAACACACTCGAGTCTTTGTTTCTGTTTACGTAGCTTTTTTCCTCCTGTTGCAATGCACGAGGACGTTTGCTAGTATACTCTTATGTAGGAGTATATATACTATCAACATAATAAAGCTAGCGGCAGGTTAAGTATTGCCAGACAGCTGGAATTGTTACTGTCTTGGAAGGCAATACAGATGAAGATAAACTGAATGAGGAACTACAATTGGTTGTGGATGATAAGTGGAATTTCCAAGCTAGAAAGATGACATCTAATGAGTTTCTGGTTGTTTTCCCAAATAAGGGTACACGGGAAATATTCTCTAGATTTGCTGGCTTTGATCTCTCCATTTACAATATGAAGGTTAAGATCTCGAAATCCTCTATTGATCCTTCAACTTCTTCAGTGCTACAAACCTGCTGGGTGCAGATCAGTAACATCCCACCATTTGCTAGAGAGGAATTAGCAGTTAAGGAAATTGCTACTTTGGTTGGTCAGCCGCTGGTGGTTGATGAGTTGAGTTTGATCAGGGATGAACCGGTCAGAGTGAAGGTTAACTGTAGAGATCCTATGGCGATAAGATGTGGTATAGAAATTTTCTTCAACAAATTTGGCCACACTATCAAGTTTATTGCAGAAGGAGAAGGGGGCAGAAGAGATCAGGAGGATGCTGGGAGCTCTAAAAACAGGAAGAGAATGGGAAAGTTTGATAGGTGTGGGAATATTTATAAGGATCAGGACTCAAATCATGGTGATAGTCAGGAAGCAATGGAAGAGGTGGCTCGGAATGATTACTATCAAGAGTCTGACCAGAACCAGGAGTACTTGCTGCCAATTGCTGCCTACCATCCATCTACTGGTCTACTGTAGATTAAGGGAAAAGATGCTATAGTGGATTCTCAAATTTGGGACCCAACTACTTCTCTGATCTAGCATAAGACCATGCAACTAGCTATGCCTGAGGATGGGAATTCTAACATGGTACCTAGTGAGGTTATAGATGAGAAGATAGACAAGCAAGAGGAGTTTGAGGTGAATCCTGAAGATCAATTGTTGGTGCATGGGAGCACAGGACTCTATCTGATGAGCAAGGATAAATGGTCTAATTTGAATCTGCCTTTTGAGATCAATAGGTCTTTGACTGAGGACTCGTCTCAAGTCAATTCACAGGAAAGGCGAGATGCCGTGCTTAAAGATCAGATGGTGCTGTCAACCCATTCCATGGGTGAGGTTGGGTTTTCAGTTGACGGATATCAAGAAAAGCAAGATGTGCTACCTACAACTCAGGTGAAGTCATCAGATCATATCAGGGATAATGAGAGGGCTCTAATCATTGGTTCCCAGGAAGAACCAGATGGGCTGATGGGTGCATAGGGAGATGTGACAGAGCATAATATGGATAACGACAAGGTTACAGTCGTGGAAGCCACAATGGAGGAGCTGGAAGATGATGGTGGGGTCATCACTCAGGAGACAGAAACTATGGATTCACAGATAAAATTCATGGAGGATGAGTCTATTCAGAGCCTGGATGAGTTCATGGAGGATATTGAATATGAGACCTAGGTCACTAAGTCCAATAGGAAGAAGCAAATGAAGAAGGGCAGGGGAAGGATCACAGTGGCTACGAGGACTAGTAATAGAGTTCCAAAGGATGGGAGAACTATGATGGAGAAGGCTACTCAACGCGCCAAAGAAAGGAATGAAATTTCCAAAGGCACAAATAATTCCAACCAATTCCTTGTTTTGAGCAATCTTAGTAACGAATATATAAAAAAAAGGTGACTGATAACCTTGATATTAGCATTGAGAATATTGATGATCAATTAGAAGTCTTTAGAGATGAGGAGAGGGTGAGGGCTGCTTTAGCAGAGGCAAACTACAAGGAGTATTTAGCCTCTGTAAATAAGAAAACTGCGCCTCAAAGGGACGAGGATCTGCAGGAGTATTCTTTGAGTGTGGTGGATAACTCAGCAAGGGGGATTGCTGATTTGTCCAACCTAGTGAGCTCTAAAGTTCCCTCTAAAAGGAGGGGGAGACCTAGGAAGAGTTCCAAATGAGGTTTCTTTACTGGAATGTTAGGGGCTTGTGTAGAGGTAGTAGGAGAAGACATGTTAGGGATTTTATTGAAGAACACAACCTTGATGTGGTAGGTATGCAGGAGACAATCAAAGAAACTTTCTCTGATGCTGAATTATATGATCTATCAGGGAATAGGGATTTCTCCTGGAAATGGTCATCAGCTAGGTGTAGATCTGGTGGTATTTTGATGGGTTTCAATCAGTCTACTCTAGAATTGGAGGACTTCCATATTTTGGAGTTTTGTTTGGTGGTGTCCTTAAGGGACATGAGGTCCAATTTTAGATGGGTCATGGTGACTATCTATGGACCTGTGAACCATGATTTGTCAGGTGTTTTTTTGGATGAGGTAGGGACTGTTTGTCAGAATGTTGTGCTTCCTTTAATCATTGGTGGTGATTTCAACTTAATCAGGGAGATTTCAGACAAGAACTCTGATAATATTGACTTTAAGACTGATAGAGTAGTTTAATTCCTTCATTGGGGATCATCAGCTAAGGGAGCTCAAAAGATCTGGCCAAAAATTCACTTGGACAAATAAGCAGGATAAGCCAATCTTGGTGAACTTAGACAGGGTTTTCTTTTCCATGGGTTGGGAAGAGAATTTCCCTTATATCTTCGTGCCTAACTAGAGTAGGTTCCGACCACTCTTCTATTCTAGTTGATAATGGGAAAGTCTCCCTGTTAGACCTAGATATTTTTTCTTTGATCACCAATGGTTGTTGGTTGAGGAATTTAAACGTTTGGTGGAGGATGTATGGAAGGAAGCTGAGGCAAGGTGCCCTGAAGCTTGCTACTCTTTAGATAGTTGGCATGGATGCCTAGTGATGCTGAGGACTAAGCTAAAAGGGTGGAACATAAAGAGGATGGGTGACCAAAAAAAAAGAGAAGAAATTGCTCATGGATGAGCTTGCTTTAATTGATAAACAGGCTGACGATAGGGATTTATCTCAGGGGGAGTGGATCCATAGGTATTAGGTGGAGAGACAGTTAGAGGATGTCTATCTCAGAGAAGAGATTTATTGGAAACAGAGGATGGGCAAAAAATGGCTAGTTGCTGAGACTCAAACACGAAGTTTTTTCATCAATTCACAAATGGTAGAAGAAGGAAAAGCACTATTATCCAGTTGGAGACTGATCAAGATATTATCACTAACCAGCAAGACATTATGGCTCATGCTGTGTAATTCTATAAGAATTTGTTCGGACCAGTGGAGCCTAGACATATATCTCTATCTAACAATTTTTGGGAGGCTAATAGGAAAGTCAAGGAAGAAGATAAAGAACATCTGATTAGGCAGTTTTCAGGAGCAGAAATTAAACGAGCTGTCTTTGAAACGAGAAAGGATGCTGCTCCTGGGCCTAATGGTTTTGGGGCTGCTTTTTTCCATAACTTCTGGGAGCTTATTAAAGATAGATATATTGGGATGTTCCTGGACTTTCACAAAGGAAATTTGGATATAAAAAGATTGAACTATGGGGTCATAACTTTAGTTCCCAAGGTTCAGGAGGCTAATACAATGAAGCAATACAGGCCCATTTGCTTGCTCAATGTTGACTATAAAGGCTTTACCAAGGTGCTAACAGAGAGACTACTCCAGTGGCTAGGGAAGTCATTGGTGAGAATCAGTCTGTGTTTATCAAGGGGAGAAATATTCTTGAAGGGGTAGTGGTACTGCATGAGGTTCTCCACTCTTTAAATAGAGATAAGGGTAGGGGAATGATTTTTAAAATTGATTTTGAAAAAGCCTACGACCGGGTTAGATGGGATTTTTTAGAGGAAGTGATGATAGGGAAAAACTTCCCCAAGCAATGGGTTGATTGGGTTATGCAAACAGTTAAGGGAGGGCAAGTTTGCATTAACATTAATGGGACAAGGGGTCCCTATTTCAAAACTATGAGAGGTTTAAGGCAGGGAGATCCTTTATCTCCTCTGCTCTTCAATCTAGTTGCTGATGCTCTAAGTGCCATGCTGGATAAGGCTGTGGAAAAGGACCTGATAGTGGGGGTGCTTGACTCAGTTATTGAGAAAGGAATCTCCCATATACAGTATGCTGATGACACAGTTCTGATGACAGATGGCTCAGATAAGTCGTTCATAAATCTTAAAATCTTATTATACTGCTTTGAGTGGTTATCTGGCTTGAAGATCAACTATCATAAGAGTGAGGTGCTGCTGTTTGGATACTCCCAGTCTGACAAAGAAAGAAAGGCAAATATGCTAAACTGCAAGCTAGGGGAACTTCCAGTTATGTATTTGGGAATCCCAGTTTCCAACAAGGTGTTGGGGATAGGGGCTTTCCAGGGTTTAGTCAATAGAATGTTCAAAAGGTTGGATCCATGGAAGGGTAAATTTATGACATCAGGGGGCAAGCTGATTCTGACAAATTCTTGTCTTAGTAACCTGCCTATGTATGTTATGGGCTTCTACATGCTTCCTAAAGGGGTTCATGGGAAGATGGACTCAATCAGATCCAAAATTTTCTAGCAAGGGGCTGGAGAGGAGTTAAAATACCACATGGCTAAGTGGATTTCATTATGTAAACCCAAAATCCATGGGGGGGTTGGGTATCATTAATACTTACCTTATGAATCAATGCTTAATCACTAAATGGATCTGGAAAATTGAAAAAGGTTCTAATGAGCTCTGGTTTAGATTGGTGAAGGCTAAGTACTTAAAGAAGAGCAATTTTTTTGGTTCTCCACAACAGGTGTCTCACAATTTTGGAGGAGCCTACATAAGGTGAAGCACCTATTCCATTGGGGGGCTGAGTATAGGGTGCATAGAGGAGTCTCTGTTAGATTTTGGCATGATTCTTGGTTTGGGGGAATGCCACTGAAAATTCAATATAGGCTGGTGTTTGAGATTTGTCAGAACCCTGAGGCAAAAGTGTTAGAGTGGGAAGATCAGATTGGGGGCAAAGGCCACACTGGGCAACAGCCAGGGGCGCCATTATATATAAGCCAATGGGCTGAATTACAGGAGGTGATAGACACCAATAATAGGTAACTATACAAGCCTACCATACAACTATACAAGCCTACCATACATGTGTAACAATATTCCAACAGCCCCCCGCAGTATCAACCGGGAGAAGATCGGACGTTGAGGCTGGATTGGAAGGACCGGAAGACAGCAGTAGGCAGGCCTTTTGTGAAGATGTCCACATATTGAAGTGTTGTTGGAACATGTAGAACATGAACTTCCCCGAGAGCAACACGATCACGCACAAAGTGCAAATCAATTTCCACGTGCTTGGTGCGCTGATGTTGAACCGGGTTGGTGGAGAGGTATACAGCACTAATGTTGTCGCAGTAAACCACCGTAGCCTTAGACAACGGGCGATGAAGTTCAGCAAGAAGTTGGCGGAGCCAACATGCTTCGGCCACAGCATTAGCAACGCCGCGATATTCAGCTTCAGCGCTCGAACGAGAGACTGTCTGTTGCCGTTTGGAAGACCAGGACACCAGATTATCGCCAATAAAGGCACAGAAGCCGGAGGTAGAGCGCCTAGTATCGGGGCAGCCCGCCCAGTCCGCATCGGAGTAAAGGAGCAGATCATGAGAGGAGCTGCGAGTGATCTGAAGACCATACTTGATAGTGCCTTTGATGTAGCGAAGAATGCGCTTCAGAAGAGAGAAGTGTTCCTCCCTCGGATCATGCATATGCAGGCAGATCTGTTGGACGGCGTGCGCGATGTCAGGCCGTGTAAGAGTAAGGTACTGAAGACCACCAGCTAGACTGCGATAGAGGGAGGCGTCGGCGACTGGAGGACCCGCCTCTGCAGGTAGCTTGGGGCTCACTTCAATGGGAGTGGCACAGGGGTTGCAGTGCTGCATCTTGGCACGGGTAAGAAGCTCCAAGGCATACTTATCTTGAGTCAACAGCAAACCAGAGGTATTCCGGGATGCAGTGACGCCAAGAAAATATTGAAGTTCACCAAGATCGGACATAGCAAATTCCTGTTGAAGGGAGGCAATGATCTGCTGAAGCAGGGCCGAGGAGGAGGCCGTCAGAATGATGTCGTCCACATACAGTAGCAAGTACGCAATGTCATTGCCAGACTTGCGGATGAACAAGGAGGTGTCACATCTGGAACTGCAAAATCCAGTAGAGAGGATGAAAGACTGGAAGCGAGTATACCAAGCGTGTGGGGCTTGTTTAAGTCCATACAGTGACTTGTTCAACTTGCAAACATGTTGTGGAAAGGTTGGATCAATGAACCCGGATGGCTGCTCAGAGTAAACTGTCTCTTCCAGAGTACCATTTAAGAAGGCATTCTTCACATCCAGCTTGATGAATAGACCGGTTACTCTATCGATTGCCGAGAGAAAGAACAAAGGCGAATCAGAAAGCAGGTTTCACCACCGGACTAAAAGTCTCCTCAAAATCGACACACAGTTTTTGAGAGAAACCACGAAGCACCCAACGGGCTTTATAACGATCCAAATGACCCATCGGACTTAAGCTTTTGGCGATAAATCCACTTCCAAAGAACAATGTTGGCATTGGGTGGGCAGCACTAAATCCCAAGTCCCGTTAGCCGTGAGAGCATTGAACTCTTCAACCATGGCATTCTTCCAATTAGGATCAGCAAGAGCTTGCTTGTAGGATGTTGGAATGGGCGATGGTAAAGACTTGAAAAGTGGTCGGAGTGCGGAACCCACTCTTGGCCCGAGTAACCATTGGATGGTCATTGGAGATAGGTGGAATGGGTACTTTCTGAGCTTCTGAAGACCGCTGAGAGACTGGAATCGGCGCAGGAGCAAATGCACGAGAGGCCTGCTGAGGAGAAGGTGGTGCTGGCGCGGTATCGCGCTGTTCGATGGACAGTTTCACAGGACGTGGACGGCGAGTATAGACAGCTGTGATAGGCGGCCTGGTGCTGTAGTCGGTGGGCGCCGATGAAGAGGTGCCCGCACCAGCAGCGCCGTGCGTGGAGGGGCCGCACGTGGCGTGCGACGTTGACGTTGAACCGGGCGCGCCGTGCATCGGGGCTGGCCCGGTCAGCGACGCCGGCACTCGTGCAGCAGATTGCGACGAGGATGGCGCCGGTTCGGTCGCGTCAGGCGACGGGGCAGGCCCGTGCGCCGTGGATCCAGGTGTGCCAGGCGGTCCTCCTGCCGGCAGTGAGCCGAGCACGCCGGGCAGAGGTGCAGGAGCACCAGGGAGCACCGTATCATCATCTGCAAAGTCATCCAAAAACGAATACGAAGAGGCAAGGGTGCTAGTACGAGCGGCATAAGGAAATGTGAGCTCGTCGAACACGACATGCCGAGATGTGATAATTTTGTTAGACTTGAGATCAAGACAACGGTAGCCCTTGTGATCGGAGGGGTAGCCGAGAAAGATGCACTCGGTGGATCGTGGCGCAAGTTTGTGAGGAGTGGTAGCCGATAGGTTGGGATAGCAGCGACATCCAAAAGCCCGGAGGTGGGAATAGGACGGCTTGGAGCCGAACAAAGCCTGGTGTGGAGTGAGATTTTTGAGGACTTTTGTGGGGTGGAGGTTAAAGAGGTGGGTGGCTGTATGTAAGGCATCGGCCCAGAAGGCGGGAGGAAGACCGGCTTGAATCAACAATGTTCGAAGAATATTGTTGATTGAGCGGATGACACGCTCAGCTTTTCCATTTTGTGGTGAAGTGTGCGGGCAAGAGAGGCGGAACCGAATTCCCTGGGAAAGAAAAAATGAGCGAGCAGCGTGGTTATCAAATTCACGACCATTATCACATTGGACGAAACTGATACGACACTGAAAATGTGTTAACACGTAGGTGTGAAAATCGCGAATAGTGGAAAAAGTGTCAGATTTCAGTTTCAAGGGAAATGTCCAGAGATAATGAGTGAAATCATCTAAACACGCCAAATAATATTTATTGCCAGACACACTGGGAATCGGAGAAGTCCACAAATCACAATGAAGAATCTCAAAAGGGCGCTGAGTGCGCGTTAAAGATGTAGAAAACGGCAAACGAAAATGTTTTCCTAACTGACACTCATGACAAGGAGTGGCAGGTGTTTTATTTGGGGCGACAGAGATGGCGTTGGCTGACTTCAATTGAGAGAGAACGTTGGCGCTGGGATGGCCGAGGCGACGATGCCAAATGTCTTCTGCAAGAGCCAGCAACACTGCGCGAGTGGAGGTGGGTGGCGTGAAGAAAGGGTACAAATCGCCGGAGCTATTGCACCGATAGAGAAGCGCCTTAGTTTTGAGATCCTTCACAGACAAACCAAACGGGTCAAATTCCACAGACACAAGGTTGTCAATGGTAAACTTGCGCACGGAAATAAGATTTGTGACTAATTGAGGAGAAACTAAAACGTTGGATAAAGAAAATTGCCGGGTAGGAGAGGGAAAAGCAACACTACCACGAGCGGTGATGGGAATGGAAGAGCCGTTGCCGACAAGAATATTTGTGGGTGTGTGGGAAGGAGAAGTGGAGGAGAGAATACCCTGATCGTTGGAGAGATGGAAGGATCGCTACGCGGAATCCATGAACCGGTCGGGTTCTTTGCTTGAGGTCATGGAGTTCAAACGTGTTGATCAAGCGATGGGATCCTGTGTGTTCGTGGCGGACGTCGTCTGCAGTACAACGCAGCGCCTTGACGATTGGGAATCCGGGAGGGGCGCCAGCGAACATGGCCTGATGCGGAACGCCGGGACGTGGACCAAGCACGCCCTGGGTAGGCTGCATTGGCCACATCTGGAAGGTGCCGGTGTAGGGGTTCAGGAACGGACGGAAACCGCCGAAACCGCCGGAACCGCCGGGCGCGCCAGACCGGCCGGAGGATGGTGCACTGTTGCGATTTTTGTTCTTGTACCTGTTCTTGTTGTTGTTCCGCGGCGCAGAAGAGAACTGCTGGGGCACCGAAGGGGAAGCGGGCGGCTGGGGCGCCGGCGGTTGAGGCGCCATTACCAGCGCCGTTTGTTCGCCAGGCTGCGGGGTCTTGAGATCCGCCTCCTCAAGTTCCAGCATGGAGCACGCAGTGCTGAACGTCGGCAGGGGATCCCGGGATTTGATGAGGGTCCCCATGTGACGAAGAGTCGGACTTAGGCCTCGAATGAGCGTGAGGACCAGAGTCGGCTCGTTGACGGGGAATCCGAGATCGGCGAGCCCGTCGGCGTATGATTTGAGGCGCTCGCTGTAGTCGGAGAAGGAGAGGTTGCCTTGCGCGAGATTGCGGAAGTCCGCTTCCAACGCAAGGGCCCGCGACGACTTGTTGTTCTGGAACTGCGCCTCGATCGCCAGCCAGATGGTGCGGGCGTTTGCGGCGGGCGTCATCACCTTGTTCATCAGCTTCGGAGAGATGGACGAGTAGAGGAGGGATCGGACAGAGAAATCCGTCGTCGTCCACACCGGCGTGACCGGGTCAGGCACCGGCGTACCATCGATGTGGTGACCAGCGCCGAACTTGCCGAGGAGGGTGGTGAAAAGCTCACGCCAGGCACGATAATTGGGCGGGTGAAGTTCCAGGGTGATTGGGAGGTGAGTTTTGATATTGATGGTGGCGAGAGAGGCAGCAGGATTCGAAGGGGCGGCGGCAGGTAGGACCACGGCGAGGGCTGCAGCAAGAGCCGCGGTGGGATCGGGCACGATCTCGTCGGCCATGGCAAAAGAGATGAGGGCGGGCCGCCGGGTGGGTGGACGCGTCGTGAGGGGAACACGCGCGGAGAGGGGTGGCGGCGCGAGGAAGAAGAGTCGCGGCCTGGGCGCGCGATCAGCGGAAGCAGATGATCGGGTATGCGGCTGATACCATGTTAGAGTGGGAAGATCAGATTGGGGGCAAATGCCACACTGAGCAACAGCCAGGGGCGCCATTATATATAAGCCAATGGGCTGAATTACAGGAGGTGATAGACACCAATAATAAGTAACTATACAAGCCTACCATACAACTATACAAGCCTACCATACATGTGTAACAATATTCCAACAAAAAGTCTATGATTTTTGGAAAGATGGGGCGTGGGACATTCCTCTGAGAAGAAATTTACATGGTGCAGTTTTAGATGAATGGTGCGATTTACAGGAAGCTCTACAGGATGTAGAGTTAGATGGGGGTGGGGATGATGAGGTAATTTGGGTTTTAGAAAAGTCTAGGAATTACTCAACAAAATCATTATATGATTGTCTGACCCAGGGTGGGGTTAGGGACCATCTTCACAAAATTCTTTAGAAATGTAAGATACCTTTAAAAGTGAAAGTTTTCCTGTGGCAAGTTTTTCATAAGAAATTGCAAACTGCCTTGGCTTTGACAAGAAGAGGGTGGCATGGGGGGCCGTTGTGTTGTGTATGCAACAAAGTAGAAACGATTAACCACATTCTTTTTGAGTTCATGTTTGCACAGTATGTATGGTGTTGCATCAGAGAGGCTCTTGGACTGAAGGGGTTTCCAGTGTCAGTTCAGGATCTGCTCTCTCGATGGTTGCCTGGGAGGTTGGGGTTGTCAAAAAGTTTGTGCCTAACTTTGTTTGTAGGAATAGCTTGGGCGATGTTGAAGAACAGAAATAAAATGGCTATTGAACAGCAGTTCCCTAACAGCCCTGATGCTGTGATTCATATGATTGCTAATTTTGTGCAGATGTGGGCCGACTTGCTCAAGGAGAACGACAGAGCCAAGATGAGGGAGATGGCTCAATCGTTGTCTGATTGGATGAAGATGAAGGCGTGCTACACGCCCTACACAGACATCGAAGTTCTATAGTCGCTGTTTCAGTCTTGATTGGGTTGCTATTAGGCTGCTATAGTTTGCTGTTATGCTTTTCTTGCAATTTAGCAGGTTTGCGTCTTCAGTTCTCCAGGGTTGGAGCTTTCTTTTCTAGTGTGTGCGTTTTCTTTTCAAACTGGTGCTCCCAGTCTGTAAGAATCTGTAATTGACTTTCTTAAAAGCTGAGTTAATCTCCGTTTAAAAAAACAAGTAAAAGGGGGTCGAGTTGTGCAGGGAAATTAAGAAAAAAGGGGTCGAGCTGTGCAGGGAAATTGAAAGAATGAAGTGTTTTGTTTTTGTGTTTTTTTTCTTGGGTTTATTAAGTAATCTACGGCTCCCCTTGTGTAAACGCGCGGTAGGGACAGGCGACATTGAAAGGGCTTCCTGCTGCTGCACTGTTTGCAGGGGCAAGCGCCGAATGGCTCTTCTGCCGCACTGTCAGCAGGGGCAGGCGCTAAAGTCAGCCATGTTGTCACATCTAGTTCCTGTAGCAGCATGGTAGACTGACATGTCTGTGTACTAGGATTAGATTGGTAGAGTTATATATATAGTTTGCCACTGCAACTCAGTAAAGAGAACGAGTTCAGTTTTGTCATCTTCTCTGCAGAGCTCCGGGCAACGCTGGTACTTGTGCTGTGTGTGTGCTTATTTCTTCCTCTCTTCTTCTATCTCTAGGCAATACTGGTGAGTGGTCGATTCACCCGTGCCGGAGATCCAGGAGACTAGACTAAAGTCCACCTAATAATCAAATAATTCGTTTACTTAGTACTTTGTGCCACACTGGCACTGCCATAGCGGGCGATCGTGTGGCTCTGGCAACGCCTCTGGAATTCTGATGATAGTGCGGAGCCACAACGTAGGGGTGCCGTCATCACCTTACTCTCCATCGTCTTCTTGCTGCGCCCAGACAGTCACGTGCACGATGTAGATGCAAGCGACGGAGAGCTTGTTGTCCATGCTGACGCAGTATGCACTGAGATTTAGGTCCGAAAGAAATTAGTCAAATAAATTTTTGGGTTTTAAAAATTTATAACGCACGTGAATCGATAAACAAATTTCATGTGACTCACTTTGGTGGTTGGAAAAAATCAAAATAAATGGTGTTAACTAGTGCTCTTGAAGCTCAAAAATTAAATTTGACGTTGAGATAAGCTTTTTTCGTTAAGTCGACAAACACTTGAACTATTATTTAAAATACTATTTTTGGCGAATTATATTGAGTAAAATAGTTAAATGATGCTTAAATATTTTGCTCCTATGGGTTAGTATAAGGTATGGACTATTGTATGAAATACTTATTGGTAGCAGTAAATAAGGTTTAGACCTATTAAAAATTGAGACAAAAGAGTTAATGGCTACTTAGCCTCAACCGAAATCCTTAACTTTTCTAAGTATGGGAAAAGTAGTAAGACAGTGCTATTTTGACATTTAATTTCTAATAAAAATGTTTAAACACTAGCTGCATGTTTTGGTATTGTTGATTGCATCAAAGTGATTACTTGAGCATGGCATAGGTCAAAGTTGTGTTGGATGTCACGTTGTCCGCTCTAAATTTGCCCAAACCTTTTTAGAACGCGCTGTGAACCATGATTTGGTGCTCGGTTCGCGAACCAGCATTTAGCATGACGAACTCATGTTGGCACCTCTCTATCTCCCTCTCTGGTTGCTCCTTGGTCATGACGATTGCTTCGCTAGCTAGCTGATAGTGTTGACCTTAGGTTCATAGAATTGGTCGAGCCTTCGTCGAATCAGTGAGCAGTTTTTGGCCCGCTTTAAAAAGCGTGCGTGGCATCGTTCCTAGTTTCTTGACCTGAGGCCGCGGTCACCACGCGCGCGAGTGTGCTGCCGGTGACGAGCTCGGGCCATGGCCGGGTGGCTGCCGCTGGTCAGTCCGCGGGCCGTTGTCGCGTGTCGCTTGGTGCCGCGCAACGCCTTCGCCTCGTCGTGGCCGAGTCCCGCGGGCCAGCCCTGGTGGTCGGCCACCTATGCGCCAGGCCAGGCTTGGCCGCCATCGCTTCGCGCCGTGTGCACGTACTGCCAAGTCACGCACAGGACTGCACTCTGTCTTCCCTATCACCTTGCCTCGCCTTGTAGCGCGCGTTTCACAGCCGCTTACCTCACCTACCCCACTCTTGCTCGTGCGCCTCCTGCCGCATCGCAACGCCGCGCTGCCGCGTACACATGGCCGCATAGGCACCCCCAAAGGCTCCACCCGAGCATTAACCACGCGACCCTTGCTCTCGCTCGTGAGGTTGTGTCCTCGTGCTACCATGACTTGTCGGGTCTTGGCCGGGTCACCTTCACCGGGGCCACTCCTTGCGACGTGGCGGTGGCAGTGTGCCGCTCTCCTCTCCCCTTCTTAATCATCGACTCAAGCCCTCCCAGTCCAATTCCTCGCACCGATGGGTAGCTTAGCAAGTTAGCTAGGTGTCGCATTCTCATCGAGCCCAGCCTTGGTTTGTCAGTGGTCAATTTTGGTTTCTCCTCGCCGCCGGTCATGTACGCCGCCGTGACCAGAGGGTTGGGGGTAAGGCCCGTAGGGGTTGGTAGCGGTTCAATTGCTCGTATCCTCGAACTCGCCTTGACTCCCCCTATCCGGTGCTCACACTATTTTGGCCAGGGAACTCGTCGACGACGTGGTGACGCGTCGATGTCCGGCTCGAGGCGTCGCCATCGTGCTCGGGCGCACGTGGCTAGACCATCTCAGCTTTTTCTTGCTTCAACCGTCACTATAGCATACACCACGGTGAGCTACTAATGCTTCTCCGTCATCTCTACCTTTCCGTGAGGGCGTAGGCTCGCCGAAACGCTCGTGTCGTCGTACGGATCCACCATCGTCGAGGCTAGGGTTGAGTAGCACACCGTTGGACTTTTTGCTGCCTCTGACCATTGTGCGTTGGCCCATGGGTCAAAGTAGGCCCGAGAGAGGCGCCGATTTGGCCCTTGGTAGGCCGGCGTGGCCATGCTGTGCTGGCTAGAGCTGCACCGTCGCGCGCGGGGATTCCAGGGACTTGCCCATGGTGAGGACGAAAACAACCAAGGGCTTGGTCGTAAAGCCATTGCCGATAGGAACAGTACACATGCTAGTCGTACTATTACCTCGAAGCTCGGGGGCTTCTCTGCAAAACCGTCGTCGCACGCGGGCTCCCCGGCCTTGGGCCGTTGCGACGTGCGCCCGCCCGCGCCCACGCTGGGCTGCTAGGCCGAATTAGCTGCTGCTGGGTTTTTCCCTTTTTCTTAAGCAATTCCTAATTTAGTTTATAAGGAAACTTATAAATTCAATATAAATTTGTGTAGTTGGCAAAAAAATTATGAAATTAATTTTGTTAGGTTCCTAAAATCATGAACTATCTGCTAGTATATTTTATTCACATAGTTTTATAATATTTTCAGGAGTTATTTAATTAATTTGAGATGCTTAATATTGTAAGATATAAACTTGTAGGAATTATTGTGATAAATTGGTGATAGTGTTGGCTCTAAAACTTTCACAGTAAATTTCTAACATTATTAGGTGTCCACTGTAATTTTTGTAACTCCATAATAATTAGGTTGCTAAGGTAGCTAAGTGAGCCATAGTTCGAAAATATATATTTAATCAATAAAATACCGAAACACCTTGGATTTTAAAACTAGAACATTTTTCGGGAAACAACGCATTATTCGACAACATGGATACGTAGCCTAGCACGTTAGTTATTAGAGTTATCTCGTTAGCTTGCGAGGCGTAATCGTATTTCTAAGAGTTTCGGTTGCCGTTGATTATTTACGTCTTTGCGCTACATCCACGTATATCATAATAGGAACAATGATGGATCGTGGAGATAATCAGAGTAGCGGAAAGGATGATGCCTTGATGATCGTGTCACCATGATAAAATGCTAACTTTTGGTTATATCTTACCCAGGCAAGCCCCGGTGCATAACCCCTATTATTATGCACTTTACTTTATGCTTGTGCATTAAGTTTTAAGGAGTTGAATGAAACCACTTGCTTATCCTATGAGTCCTACTAGTATGTCAGGATCATGTAGATTGTTCTGCTATAGGACCTGGTAGAAGTCGAGTGATTATCTGTCACTCGCGAGAGATAGGAAAGATATTATTGTTGTTATTATATTACTATCATATGGAATATATATGGAGGATAATTGGAGACCGAGCGGAATGATACTTTGGATCTGGACTTGGTTAGCCATTCGAGCGAGGCTCGGATTGCATTTGTTCCGCCTGTGTCGATTGAGGACCGTTCGTTGCTGTGAATGGTAGTCAGATCACAGACTTATTATCCTAAGCACATACTTACTTATGGGAGCGGAAAGGCTCGTTACGCTCTTGTCGTCGGTTCCGGCTCTTTCCGAACCGACTGATTAGAGGTGGAAAAAGGTGAAGGTCTAAGCACCATACTGAGACCGGGTCTCAAGTGTGGGGGCTTGGAGTCCAAGTTTAGATGGAGACCTGGACCCCGCGACATGAATGGAATGGGTTGGTCTTGTTTGTGCCTAGAGTACAAACGGGGAGTGTGTTTTGAGGTACCCAGCTGGGATACATTGGTTCACGAATCGTTGTTTCTGTGAGACGGTACGACTTGGCTATGGTCTAGCACCGTAGTAAGAACTAGAATATGAAAGATGGTAAAATGGTTCTGATTGCTCATCACCTGCTTGAAGGTAGCATAAGAGCTTACATAGAATGGATAGTTAATGAACTAATGATGACTGCTAATAAAATTTAATATAAGGACATACGTTTAGTAATGCTTCCATAGATGCAATAACCCACAAGCCAAATAAGTCTTGCATATCCTTGGAGTCTTTTATTTTCCTCCTGTCGGGTAAGTCTTGCTGAGTACAATCGGGTACTCAGGGTTTTATTTTCCCCTGTTGCAGGTAACCGATAAATGGTAGACGACTTTTGTGTATGGAAACCTCCTGGTGGGCTCAGTGAGGATTTCTTTACGTTGCTGACGTAGAGTTTAATCAAAATTTTTACAAAATA